GATGTGATTTTTTTCACGAGTTTTGATAATTTTTTTAATTAACAAAATAAAAACAAAGCTATGAATAATATAAATTCGCGTTTTTCATTTAATTTGAACATGTTGAAGTAGAATTTTCAATAACTGCCAAGTCTAGAAATCTTTTTGAATTTCCGAATTGCACATGGTCCGAATTAATATTTTTCCGGAAGTAAACAATGGATGATGCGTACGCAGTCGTAATACTACGCAGGAGAGTAGTTTTGTTTACTTATGTGTTTTACAATTAATATTTTGAGTTTACATTCACAAAATGCTTCACTCATTTGATTTAGAAAAAAGTTCATATCACTTTCTTCAGTTTAATACAGAATGCTTATATTTTGATCAAAACAATTTCTGCACTCTTTCATATAGCGTAGATTTAATTCATGTGTTATCACCACGGCTTCCTTTTTGAGGGCTCTGACAGTAAACTAATAGACGGGGTCACGTGACCCCGTCTAAAAATGGTTTCTAACCTCCTCTTACGAGGGGTGATCAAAAAATTCGCAAACTAATTGAATAACTTCCATACAAGAAACAATATTTGGTTTTAATGTTGATTGTATTTTAAATTAATCCTCCCCGATTTTAATGCACAACAACCACCGTTCTGCGCATGCGCGAATCACGTGATGATATTGCCGGTCACGTGACCCCCTCCGAAGCGTTCTGTCACAAAAGTTAAAAGATTTTTCCGAGTTTTATATTTCTTTCTAGGTGAGTTAATTTTTATGACAAGAACAGTTAATTTGTCAGAAATGGTCATATCTCGGCAACAGAATGGGTGGATAATAACATCCTTTCCAAAAATAAGCATGGCGACCATTAAAACACAAATCTTCTGTCTCAGGAGAGACCTTTATTCAAGGTGGATAGAGAATGGGTGCATCCTTTTTATCATATCTAATATATTTAAAATCTAAAGTAAACGATATCTTAGGTATTTAATACTTATATCATTGTTCAAATATTCAACTATTTTTCAAAGTGCTAATTGGAGGTCTTTGATAGCAAATTGCTTTTAAAATTAAAAATACATATCTTTTCAAACTTGCTATCACTGGGCAAGATGACAAGTATCATTTTTAACCATCAGCCTTCCTTCACTAAAACGATTAATCCAATCATTAATTGAATTTATAGGAACTCATTTATCTCAATAAACTGTGTACAAATTATCATATGATACTGTAGAGGGATTTCTAAGATATTACAATAAATTGTACAGTCGTTTGTTGAACGAGTTCGACTGAGACAACCATTTTTCGTCACAAGTGACCTAAATGGTGACTTCATTTTCACATTGTGACGTCACAAACAAGGAGAGAAACTTTATTCAGCATATGCTATTTATAGACCTTGTGTATGGCTATGTGTGTACCGAATTTCATTCTAATCTGAATTGTGGTTTTGTAGATATAGAGATAGTTTGCGAACTTTTTGATCATCCCTCGTATATATTTTGCAATAGCGAAATTGTCTTGATGGTGATTGGTTGTGTCCTTTTAGTGTTCAGTAAGGTTTTAGAATTTTTTTTCTCGATGGGGGAAAATTGAGGGTGAAAAGACTGACAACATTCTTAATAACTCAAATGAAAATATCGTGATGACATTTATACTTTTTTGCAATGTGATTCAATTTTTGGTACAAAAATGGATGGATTTTTTGTGTGCCTAATCATTTTTTTTTTTATTTCAAAAAGCAATTTAGTATTACTTTTATAGACTAGCTGGTTTATCGTCAGAAAATCTGTTTTTTACGTAAAGAATAGTTGGTTATAATAAGGTTTGTTAGGAATTCTTGCACTCAGTGCTTAGGTTATTCAGTATTCAATATTGTGCAAAAGACAAGAAGTCGTGAACTTGTGAATATGTCTTTTTGTTGCATTTGTTACATAAAAACAGAATGCCGTCAAAAGACGGTAATAGCCAAATGTAAGTGTTTGCCTCTAAATATACTCTCGCGTGTATTTGGGTAGCCAAGCCACAGTTTAAAGCAGGTTTGTGAAGAAAACTTTTTCAACCCCCAAAAACGAATCTCTTGATAAAGATCACTATTCCGAAACTTTATTGCACATCTACAGAACACCATCAATAATATTTCACGGGTCTTGGTTTTTAAGGTTTTATCCAAAAGCAATTTTCACTTCAAAGTGGCAAGCGCTTGGCAAAGGAACAGTTCAAAGCTGCATATAGTACTTTTTATCGACTTTGGTCAGTCGCGGCCGAGGTTCGAACCCACTTTCTTCTGAACGCTGTGTACCTACTGAGCTACCGTGACAATTTCATAAAATGTAAAAGAACTTCAAGAAATCAGGTTTCTGAAACGTTATTGCACATCTGCAGGATATCAAATCATCTGAAAAAGGGTGAAATAGATACAGGAAAAATTTGGTGGAGTTCTGAAAACCAATTTTTTGTAAAGTTAAAAAAAAAGTCCTTTTTCGACCGCCGTTTGGTCCCAAGGGTGAAAATGTAAATACCAAAACCTTTGCATATATGCAGATGGCCTGCGACAAAATGCAAAAGATTTAATGGTTTGTAAACTGTTCTCAACTCCCATTTGGTCCCAAAGATTAAACTGAAACTCTAAAACCTACGGCGCATCTAGATATACTGGACAGCTGTACCATCCTTTCAGAAGTGTTTAAACTGAAGTGTAGTTTGAGGGAGAAGAAAGTGAGACAGACAAACAGACAGACAATGATAACAAAAATATATCAGAATTTTCTTTAGAAAGTAATTTTATTACGTTTTTTTGTGCTTCTTTTATATTCAAAACATTCAAACTCATTGTAACTCCACAGATTTTAATCAACTGTTGCTAGAAAAAGATGAATGAAATGATATATAAAATAAATAAAAATAGGACAAAATAAACGATTCATCACACGTCATTGCTTTCTTCTATTTGAATGAGGTTTGTATACTGTCAATTTTTAAGGATTATCTGTTGGTTAACTTTTCGTTACGAGCTGGTCGAAATCAATTCCAATATTCTATCGTTTACAAATTCTAATCTGCCTGTTATATGTAGTATTAGAATACCTAGATGATTGTTCTGCAAAAAAAGTATGGTATGCGCCATCAGGACTGGGCCGCAAAATTCATTTTTAATCCAGCATCTCGGGTCGATGGTGCAATATCGCGATGACTTTGATACCATTGAACATCGCTTCCGCGTTATCGATCATTGTGTCATCACCTTTATATCATCGTGGCATCGTGTCGTGATCGTGCTTTCAAATACAAATATGAAAAACATATACATGTACTTATATTCTAATTATCATCGAAATTGAATTGGTATGTATAATGAGAAAAAAGGCAATTTCAATATATCCGGTGAGCTGGTTTCAAAATACAGACTGATAACCCAAATTCTGTATAAAACCTAAAGTATTGACGGAATTTACCTAGCGATTCTAAATCACTCAAGAGGCGCTCTCCAGGTGAAATGTATCCGCAGTTCTATCTGACAGATACATGCTCTGAAAAAATAATTGATGACTTAGGTGCGGATCTCAAATCAAAATCCCCAGCACTATAAATGACAATTACTCGTAAACGTTAAATTAAACTCTGATATCGATAGCTTAAACATGTAAAACTAAACAACTTATCAGTGTAAATAGCGGCAGTCGACATCAATCTTTTGTGAATTGCATAATTTTTCGGAAGATGAGGATGAGATTTCGGAGCCTTTTTTATGTTTTCATGTCTGGGCCATAAGTATGGGATAAATCATTCTGTTTCTTCATATCAATGATCACATCAGTGAATTGATATATGAAAAGATCTGCTTCCATTTGATCTGTGGCATGTTTAGGTTTGCCTCTTAATTTATGCTCTGTGTTCCCGTGTAGATATAGCTGTATATCAAGGAACGTTTGAATGAATAGGTCCCACCGAAGGTTAATTGCTTAATTTCTCAATGGAATTTTTACGCTCCCTGTGAAGTGAGGATGCGAAAGAGCTCACAGTTAACAGAAATATACAAATGCTCGAAAGTCTTTTTATCATTTAAAAAGTAATTTTAAAAAATCTTTTGAAAATTTGCAATCAGGGTAAAACCTTAGTTGCTTGGGAGTATGTACAAATTGACGCATTGTACACAGTACATTAAATAAGAAAACACGTTTAGGCTGACGCATATTTATAAATTATTCCAAAAAAATGTTTATTAATTCACGATCATTCATTCATTCAATCGTTCATTCATTCTTACATGTAAAAAATTAGTCCGTTAATTTTTATTTGTAAGATCAGAAAATATGCAAACCTCTGCAATGTACAAAAAAGAGAGAATTATAACACTTTGTCAATGTGTTATAACAAATTACTAACATGTTTAAACAAATTGCTATTTAAGGAATGAATTTAATAGCTACCCATTTTATACGGTATAAACTGGGTTGGGGCAGTTTACGCTATAATTTTTCATTTTCATTTTCATTCATTTGATGTAAGAAAAAAAGGATGATTGTTCTAACAAAATGACTTCAATTTGTACAAAATTTGAATGTAACGTCAGGCGGATTGATACATTTTTGACGAAAGTCATTGTGACGTAAGCAACCCATTTTATACGATATGAAGTAAATTTTTTATCCAATCAAATACAGGATTACAACCAGAATTTTAAAAAAAATTTGTAAACAAATTATTAATTTATAAAATTAAAAATTTGTCATAATTAAGAAAGTACAATGGGTTGGAGTTGTGAAAGATAGAGGAAAGAAACAAAAAGAATTTATATACTAGTATTTCGAGCAAGCATTATAAGTACATAGAATCTCTCATTTTTTAAACAGCAGCTTCAGCAGTTCAGTAATGTTTTGAAATTAATACAAGACTGAATTTATGCTCGTCATTAAATCTCGGGTTCGGTATACGGAAAATATAAAATCCAATTTTGACAACAGCGATTCGTTGGGACCGTCGACGTCGTCTGTCTGATCATAAGACTCCTTCAGACTTCAGAGAATGCCGATCGGTAAGGAATTTTTGGTTTTCGAAAATGGTTTGGTTTTCCTCACTTTCATGTTTCATGGGCTCTGCATAACCCAGTTCGTTCGACGGTGGAAAACAAATGCTCAGAATATTATCTCAGCATGTTCAACATTTATTATGATGTTTTTATCATACATCATAGAATTTACTTAACTTTTTAAATTAAGAAAATATCTACACTCGAATGCTTTTAATTTTAATTGTTTTGTTGTTGTATGGTTAAAGTGTTAAGCATTCAACAGAGGAAATATTCATAGTAGTCAGAAAAGGTGCAGAAAGGTGATCCTGTACATGAGAGATAAGGGTGTTTACCTTCCCTGTTTTGTTTATGATAAGAGATCCCCCGGGTTATAATAGTAATAAATGTTTACAAAAATATAGCAAATACCAAAGAGCCATTTATATGAATGCGGAGTTGATTTTGTTATTTTTATAAATATTGGAACATTTGATGGCACAGCAAGATATGACAGCCACATTTTTTTTTCACCAGTGAGATTCATCATTAATTTCCAGGCATATCACTAAGAATTGAAATGGCAGGGAATATGAAGGAAGACTAGTAAGGGAATTGGGGTTCTTCCACTAACAGAGGGTTTAGGGGGAATATCAGAATAACCAGGGGATTATGTCTTCATAGGTGGGGAAATTCCCGGCCCCCAGTCCTAGGAACAACTCTGAATTTCCTTGTCATTCAGATTGCATATGGATTTATTCCGTTTTTCATGCACTATTAACATCTTTAAAAAGTCTAATATCAAATACATGTAATATATGGTAGATTGCAATGAATCCTTGCTAGCCAAGGGTTTTCTGTCCTCTCCGCTCTCCATAAACTGGAGAGCTGAGTGGACCAAAAACCCTTGGCTAGCAAAGATGATTGCAATCAGATACCTGGTAAAAGAGCATGTTTAAGCATTTTATTCCCTATAAATGTTTTACAACCCCCAATCACCCCAAAATAGAACTCTAAAATGAAAGATCAAGGGGATACTTGGTCACAACCATAAATAAATGACATTGACACAATGTGCACCTACAAAGGCAATTTTTTGTTCTAATATGCAATCCACTCCAAAAATAAGGAAATTAATTTGCAGTAGTATTTAAGACTTCTAAATGAATCTTAAGTGGACCAGATAGTTTCTGTTGAATTGTCCAACACTTTTACAACCCTTCATTTTGTGTGGCAGAAAATTCAATACAACAAATTTATTGGTTTGTAAAGACAACTATAATGGATTGAGAGGTATACAGGTTGCTTAAAAATGTGTCTAGAATGAGACAGTAAAAGCTAGTTGATTGACCAATGCTGGAAATTGGAGAAATACTCCCCAACAATGGACCAAAAAAAACCCATTAAATTGCACATATTTTGTATTAATATTAGATTTGTAGCATTAATGAATATGGTCAAAGATCAACAATGTAAAAAAACATTTTACCTTTAATAAATTGCACATATTTTCTATTTATATTAGATTTGTAGCATTAATGATTAAAAGATCAGAAATAATGTGTGAAGGATTGTTAATTTTTCAAATGTATTCTTAAAACTAAAAAAACGAGGAAAACTTGATTTTAGTCCCTGAAATACCCCCCTCCCCCCCCCCCCCCCCCCCAAAAAAAAAATATGTACGTTACTTAAGGGTCTGTAATTAATTGTAGGCATGAATTTATCCTTCTATGTTCTCATTTGTCAGCATAAATTTTGACTAGATGAAAACAAAGAAATAGAAAAAAAATATCTAAAATGTCTGTTGTTAGTCATCGGCTATATTAGATAGAGACTGTCTGTATAATTGAAGGTATGACCTAACATCTACATGAATGAGACAGAAAGGTTGGAAGATTAGAATGTTTATTGATTTGGTTACATCAACACAGGTAGGTGTCGTTTATCATTACAAGATTTACCTGTATAGTTATCTGAAGCAAGCCTTTAATTTGTATGCTGACAGCAATATTGTCTGATCTTGGAGGTTAATTGAATACTGTAATGGTTTTAATCCACAGTGCTGTATCACCACAGATAAACTCCTAATTGAAATGGATAGAGATCATGCTTTCACTATAATTTTACAGGAATGAGTGGATATTTTTTCCAGTACATAACTGTTGTGGTCCGAGATTTTATTTTCTTCCACAATGATGTACAGTCTACCACCATAGCTGTAGCCATTGCCAGCTCTTTGTGCTGTTCCATTGTGTGGGCTATTTGTCACTTGCTGACCATCGGGTCCTCCTCCCGTAAAGCCAACAAAAAGAGGGCTACTGCCCACACTACTGGTCATGCCGGGGCTAAAACCAAACAGAGGAAAACACCCAGAAATGTAAGCAATAAAGAAATCATCTTTATCATTGATATTGTTTGCATGTATAATTGCCAGTAGAGTTGGTTGGTAAAGTACATGTATTAGTTGTTAAAAAAGTAGAGTGAAATAAATAATTTACAAATCCCAGTCAAAGATCAGGGAAGGATGGGATTCTGCTTTGATATGATCTGTAATATTTGGTTCTTGTCAACTTCACATGTAGCAATAAAAACAGTTGGCCTCTTTGCAAAAATTTGGAGAAGGCCTATTGGTAAGTAAGTAACTGTACAGATTCTATTCTGGCACGTCCCAGGATATATCAGATGCTGTATTTTATCAATATTTTACTGAATGATTCTGGTTTTCAGAGGACATAGACTACATTACTCATAAGCTCTGTTCAGACCAGAAGGATGGATAATTTGTCAAATAAGTCATACAATCATATTCCAGAAAAAAAATTGTATCTGAAGAATTATTAATCCTACATTGACTTGTAATGTATAGGCCATTGACATATAATGTTAAAGGCCACTAACATTAGATCTGCCTATGATTTATACTTTGAAAAATAGAAACCAAAACCCTATGATAGTGGTGTTAATTAGTAAAGGAATCTTTTTATAAAATCTTCATTTAAGATTACTGTGAATTAAGTCATTAATTTTTGCTAATTTTCAGGTAGTCAAGGTATCTTTATATTACTACTGAACAATTCTTTAACAACGAAATCAAATCCCCACGAAAATCTGACCTCTCGCAAATATGTGATTTTACTATACTGTTTTTCTTTTAGATGACTTTTATTAAGAGAGCTATGTAATCTTTTAATTACTCTTTGATTATAAGATGTCCTGTTGCTGTGTTTCACAGAGTATTAAAATTTTTGCTTTATGTGCTTTCTTTTGAAGTCCTCAAGTTCTGAAGATGATGTCATTATTAGTGAGGAAATTGAAGTTCCCTGTGTTCAGTGAGTAAATAATCAATCTATATTAATTATTTACGAATTAAAAAAATGTATTGATTCGTTTCTTATTGCCAATGCAAGAAATCTTGCAGCTATACAGGATTTCTCTGTATATAATATTTTCATTCAAGAATTGATTAGTAGTTGTTTGGTAGTATATATTTAGTGTGTGTCATATTCTATGATGTGCCCTCATGATAGAATATATGTATATATCAGAATTAACAAAGGTCTTGTTTACCTACCTACCTAAATCTCTTTACATCAATTGTTTAATTGTTAAACAGTTGTACCTTGCTGCATAATAATGTGCACCATATCACGTAACAGGCTCAGTGTAATTGATTATGCATGCAGGTATTTTTATGGGGAGGTCAAGACCTGCTGATGAGTAAAATGTCTGGTAGGTATGGTAAATAGATAAATATGTGACCTCATCACAGTGTTATAAACATCTCCATGTAGGCATGGATTCAGTTTGTTCATACATCTGATTCAGTTTGTGATGTAATACAGAGAACCTAAATTTAAATTAATTTTTGATAGAGTAGGTGTGTAGTCACCATAAATTTTTAATAACAGCACATTTTTATAAATTAATATTTGTCACAGAGTTTGTTTATAACTGGTAAAGATTTTGAATTTATGTCTTTGGCTGCATAATTTGCAAGAGTTCAAGGTCACTGGCAAAAAGTGAAATTTAAGAGGATGCTACATTTGTAGAAGCTTATTCTTCCCAATGATGTGTTCCTGACTCAGGGAACTATGTATTGGTAGATTGGCTTTTATAACTTACGGTCAAAAAGGTACATGTAAGAACATTTTCAGGATAGACACATTCAGTTGATATGTCGAGCTGATAATGTCACTCTCTGTCTGTTGTAAATGTGGCCAGTACATTGGAGATTTCACCTGTATGTTTATTACATGAAACATTTACTGTCTCTTGTAGGCAGGGACAATACATTGTATATACCTGTAGATTTGTTTTGTGTAACATTGCTATCTTTTGTAGGTGTGGGCAGTACATAGCAGATTATACCTGTAGATTTGTTACATGTAACATTTGTTGTCTAGCACCCTCATCATGCTCTACTCATCATGTATCAGAAAACAACAGAAGACCTTACAACACAAAGAAGAAAGGAATGACAGAAATAAATTTAAGGTAGGAGCCTGCTTATACTGTGGTATTGAAAAAAAATCTGAGGCCACTGTGACAGACAAGTTATTTTATTCTGTTCTAAAATTTCATCCAGAAGATGAAGTGTCTAGATTATTGGCATCTGAATAAATAAAGCTCCACCGTAAGGCCTAAAATAAAATTTAATTTGTTTGCAGTTACCGACCCACTGAAAATGCACCCATCCCAAACCTTTTTTTAGCCCTTTTGTTTTACTATTTTTTTTATTTTCAGGATATTAAACATGTTAAAACTGTTTCATTATTAGTTTTTGTTATACAAGAGTGAAGATTATACTTGTTTAGTAAGCCTATGACAAGCTCAATTATTTGTTATCTAACAAATATCAAAAAACTTAAAAAAAAAAAAAAAAGAAGAAGAAGAAGAATGCCTTCTTACGTACCCACTCAAAAAATTATAGGTTGGCAACTGCAAACAAAGAATTAGTTTAGGTTGGCCTAATTGGTATGTGTAGGTACTGGGAACTTTGTTCTTTTGGAAAACTTACTGATGTAAATTCATGCCAGATTTTATCATATGCCTGTAGCTGCTGCAATCACTGTCTTCAGTAAGAGTACTTTCCCTTTGATGTGAGAACAAGTCAAGCCTTTATATGAGCAATGAAATGTAAAATTTAAGATGAATGGATTTTCCACTTTAAAAATTACATTATTTTGAAAGAGACTTGGAATTAATTCCTAATCTAAGCTATATTGTTGTTCTTTCATTGGTGCAATTGTGCTCTTGATCTTAAACTAATCATTACCAGTACTATAGTATATATTTTATACAAGGTATTAAATGAACCTAGTTGGTAGACATTTGCCAGTACATGATGTACATAAAATTTACTCTTTATAAGGTTTTATAAATACTGTTACAATGTCTAGATTTTTCTATTAATTTAGCAACAGAGAAATCACAGAATGCCCCTACAGAATGGGGTACATTGGTTCTCAGTTGACCCTCCTAAACCTGTCCCACAACAATCTGAGTCATATCCCAGCAGAGATAGGCTGTCTGAGGGGTCTACAGGAGTTACTGCTGAACAACAATAACATCACCTCTATACCAGTAAGTCAACAACAATAACATCACCTCTATACCAGTAAGTCAACAACGATAACATCACCTCTATACCGGTTACTGCTGAACAACAATAACATCACCTCTATACCAGTAAGTCAACAACAATAACATTACCTCTATACCAGTAAGTCAACAACGATAACATCACCTCTATACCGGTAAGTCAACAACAAAAACATCACCTCTATACCAGTAAGTCAACAACAATAACATCACCTCTATACCAGTAAGTCAACAACAATAACATCACCTCTATACCAGTAAGTCAACAACAATAACATCACCTCTATACCAGTAAGTCAACAACAATAACATCACCTCTATACCAGTAAGTCAACAACAATAACATCACCTCTATACCAGTAAGTCAATAACAATAACATCACCTCTATACCAGTAAGTCAACAATAAAAACATCACCTCTATACCAGTAAGTCAACAACAATAACATCACCTCTATACCAGTAAGTCAACAACAATAACATCACCTCTATACCAGTAAATCAACAACAATAACATCACCTCTATACTAGTAAGTAAGTCAGCAACAATAACATCACCTCTATACCAGTAAGTCAATAACAATAACATCACCTCTATACCAGTAAGTCAATAACAATAACATCACCTCTATACCAGTAAGTAAGTCAACAACAATAACATCACCTCTATACCAGTAAGTCAACAACAATAACATCACCTCTATACCAGTAAGTCAATAACAATAACATCACCTCTATACCAGTAAGTCAATAACAATAACATCACCTCTATACCAGTAAGTAAGTCAACACCAATAACATCACCTCTATACCAGTAAGTCAACAACAATAACATCACCTCTATAACAGTAGGTCAACAACAATAACATCACCTCTATACCAGTAAGTCAACAACAATAACATCACCTCTATACCAGTAAGTCAACAACAATAACATCACCTCTATACCAGTAAGTCAACAACAACAACATCACCTCTATACCAGTAAGTCAACAACAATAACATCACCTCTATACCAGTAAGTCAACAACAATAACATCACCTCTATACCAGTAAGTCAACAACAATAACGTACCTCTATACCAGTAAGTCAACATCAATAACATCACCTCTATACATGTACCAGTAAGTCAACAACAATAACATCACCTCTATACCAGTAAGTCAACAACAATAACATCACCTCTATACCAGTAAGTCAACAACAATAACATCACCTCTATACCAGTAAGTCAGCAACAATAACATCACCTCTATACCAGTAAGTCAACAACAATAACATCACCTCTATACCAGTAAGTCAGCTGTCTGTCTGTCTGTTTGTCCATCTGGACTGGATTGCTCCAAACACTGGTTTAATTTGACGACTGGATAAGTTAATCAGTGGTTAAAAGTTAACCGCTGGATAAGAGATTTAACCAGCGGTTAATACTAACGAGTGTTTTGAGTCCTGGATGTCAGTCTCTGAGGATGTGTATCCTTTCTGAAAACTTCTGTATAACAATTGTACTTTTTGTTTGTAGGACAGTATTGGTTCTTTAGTCAACCTTAAAGTGTTGAAGTTGTCACATAATCATCTTATAGGTCTAGCAGGTAAGTTTCCAGCTGCAGATTCTCAGTTTTATTAATAACATTCGTTGAAAATGCAAGACCATCCTAAGTAAATTCTACATTTGATTTCATCCTTACCTGTAGATTAAAGATAAAATATCATAAATTATTCATATCATAAAGTATTCTGAATATACTAAAAGCCACAAAGTTATACTTCTACCCAGTAAACTCCTTCAAAGGTTTACAAGCATTGACCTGCCATAAAAATGTAGAATTTATTTTGGATGGCTAAACCATTAATATTAATACATGTATTTAATTGAAATCATTGAGGGCTTTTGAATTTCCTGATCCACTAATAACAAATCTTGGCTTTCAGAATCACTAACTAGTTTGTCTAACCTTGTTCATCTTGATGTTCGAAAAAACAAACTACAATCACTGCCCTCTGGAATGGGGAGCCTGGTAAAACTGTCGTGTCTAAAGATGGGGTATGTGTGTGTTGTGGGAAGTACAAAAATATATGACATATTGTCTGAATTCAATATGAAAAATAATACCAAAATTCAAACATCAATAGTTACTACTGGTCACAGGCAGTAACTTCAGGTACCTGTGGTACTGGTAGTCTGATTTAAATGAATATTAAAGTAATAATGAATTAAAAAACAGGGAAATGCAAATCCTCATTTAAAGAAACTAAAATACATGTATTGTGGATTGGTATTCTTGTTCTTATTTTGCAGCTCTAATTCCATATCACATATACCAAAGAATTTATACAAATTGACACATTTGAAGGTAAGTTAAATACTTAACACCCCAATTAAATCATACAGAGAGAGTTGTTGAAATACGGGTACAATGCTTGCACAGTCTTAATACATATCTCATGTTTAAACTAATTTATTGCTGTTATTTTTTAGGTTTTGAAATTTGAAAAAAATAGAATAGACAGTTTGTCAGGAGCTGTCAGTAACCTGTTGGAGCTGGAGTATCTCAACTTGTCACACTGTCAGCTATCTACAATTCCCAGAGAGCTGGGCTCCTGTAGTGCACTCCGAAAAATTGACATTTCCCATAACAGGTTAGATTGGTGTTAATCGAACAGTTTTTCTATCAGTTCAAGTACATGGAATAATTCATAACAGAATTTTTGAGTGAGCTCTTGAGGAAGCTTGAGCATAAATATCTAGTAGTAGGAGGCACCAACCAGTTTAGTAAACACTTTTTTTCATCTACAAATCTTGTTTGCAAAAGACTTCGTGAGTCTGACACATTCTAATTTAAAATTTGTTTTACACAAAATGAAAATGTCCTTCTTTAAGCTATTTTGGTTTAATCTAAAAGCATAAGATATATATTAAATCATTAAATGTACTTCAGTTCATGTGTTTACTGGAGCTTGCAATTATTTTAGAAATCTACTCTAATGTTAACACATAGATAGTCAGAAATTATTTTATTATGGTCTTAAGTATTTTTTTATGATTTGAGCTGATTTTTGAAATTCCATGATTTTTGATTGAACATATTCAAAATTCTTTTCTTTTTTATTAATCCAGAATCACAGATATACCTGCACATCTTGGCCAGCTTCGTGATTTGACCAGACTGAATCTAGCAGGAAATAATCTGCGATACATTCCATCCACTCTGGTGCTTGGCACCATTGCAGACTGTAATGGTAGGGCATATCTGTATATTACTGATAACCATTGGGGGAGGGTCTAAACAGTGAATGGGTGCATCCATTTTCTTTACATCAATATTTAATCACTGTGCATATTTTGATTTTTTTATAGTTTCAGATAATGACTTCATCTCAAATGAGCATTCCATAACAAGTATTCCAATGACAAGTAAAATTCCACCACTGCTGGAGTTAAGTGCCAGAGCTACTGTACACAATCATTCTATGGATAAAATTAAAGAATTGCCACAGTCTTTACAAGGTATGTTATTCAATATCTATAAATGCTTTTTGCTTACTATGAAATACAGGTATCACTTATTTTCAGTGTGGGGGTGGGGGATTCATTTTTTCATTGTTTTCATCCTATCAAGAGACTCACAAATTCATCTCCACTGCAAAATGTAAAATTTCATTTAATTATGAGACAAACCTTATAAATTCCCATGGACAAATATTTAGTTCCATTAAACAAAGAAAAATTTGACTCTACCAAAATGTGGTTTACCGACTTCTATTTGTAATTTCCATGTCATGAATCATTAACTTTTATAACTCCTATTTCTACATTGTAATATAGGTTCATATTTTTTTTAAATGATCAGTCATTTACTCTTGCAGACATGATCACAAAGAGAAAGTACTGTGTGAATTGTTACAGGCCATGTTTTGTGACTTTCCAAATGACCTTGACATTCCAGCAGTTATCCAAAACAGACATTCCCACAGTGTCTTTAAGGTGCCTGTCATGTACATTGAGTCAGTGTTAAAGATAAATTTCACTTCATTTTCTACAAATCTAGTCATACCATTTTTCTGTGATTTGTGTTAGTGATTATTAATTGTATTATTTTTTATGAATTATATTTTTTTTTATTATTATTATTGAAAGGCTGCTTCATAAGATGCACATATATTTTTAAAATGCTATTCGAAGCACAAGTAGCTGGTCTACAGGTTTTATAGTTTCAGTGGAGATCTCTGTTTTATGGGGGAAAATGAAATGCAATGTCAATGCATATTTACCTTTGTACTACCTATCTAGTCATTTATAATATAGTCTATGTTCATGCCAATTTTAATATCCTTCTTATTTATAATGCTGAAAACTTGCACTTTTAAATATCTTTTTTCCTATTTGAGAGAGGTACTGAATAACATAATTTTTGCAATTAAAATATTTGGTGATCTTCCAAGGTTGCTTTCTGTTCCATGTTTAATTTTTTGGTGGAATTCTGCAATAGGAAAGATAAAAGGTTGAAATATTCACGATCTTAGGTTTTAAAATTCTTGCTGAACTGCAAAATTGGGCATTAACAGAAATATCCATCAAAAATTAGTCTCTCATTTTCATTACAAAAATATTACAATTTTCCCCTCTGTTTTTTTTTTTTTTGTTTTGTTTTCCTATAGCTAGTAAATATTAAGAAATGTATTGAAATGATTTATGAAAGCTCTTAATTGCCAATAATTGAATTTTATGTAAATTTACAGATATCAATTTTATCACTGTCAATGGCTTTTTTATTGCTTTTGCTCGATTCTTATACAGTAATATCCAGAGGTTTGAAATTATCTCTACATTTAAATCTTGATGTTGTGTTGTGAATATATAATTAAACAAAAACTACAGGCTTCTTGTGTTGGTTGTTTTTTTTTTTTTATTGAATCATTCAAATCACCCTGTTAAATTATTGCTATTTTTGGTCGTCATCTTTTGTCATCTGTCAGTTTTAAACTTTTGAACATTTTCAGTATCTTATAAACCGGTAAAAACCACATCCAATTTCAATCAATGCTCAATCCTATTATAATGAACAATCATAATCTTCAACTTGTCTTCACTTTTAGCATGCATCTTTGCTAGCCAAGGGTGACGATCCCCTCCTTTCCTCTTTTCAAAAGAAGAGCAGATTGTCACCCTTGGCTAGCAAAGATGTTAGCATGAGGATTTGGGTAAATTATTTGATGACTGATGACATATTTTACAACCTAATGAATTTAAGTTTAGGATAACCGCCAATTTCTAGTTGTGAAAATTGTACATTAAAAAAAAACAAACTAAATAAACAGAAAATTTTATTCCAAATGAATGACTTATTGCTATAATGGATAGAGTGTGGCAAAAGTTAAATATCCAGTATGACCTGGCATTCTTCCTAAGGAAATTCCAGACTTGAATGTGAAATTAGCATCACTTTTTCTTCCAATGTAATCCCAAGATGGCACATCCAAAACATCCCCAGACTGATTTTTATCTTTTACGTCACATGCTTTGCTGTTAGTGTCAGCGGATTCCTCACACTTTACAGAGTCATCTCCCTTGGGGGAATCTGTGTCCATATCCTCCTGTTCCATTTTTCTTGTATCTGTAGGTTGCGACTTTGATTTTTCTTTAGAAAATTCAGGGTTGGGCAGATTAATTGTTCTCACATCATAATTCCTTACTAGACACTCCATTGTTGAAATTTCCTCAAATCCTAACTCATCTAGACAAGCACAGGTCTTTTGGACTTGTTCTATACAAGGGGAGAAGGAGCAGATTCTTCCACCTAGAGTGTATACATTTAAAAATAAAAGATTGTAATATAAAAAATCATGTTACTTTTTTTTTTTTTAAATAAAGTGTACTTTCTAAAAACTAAATTATTTTAAAATTAAACTTATTTTAGCTGAGCAACTTTCAGTAGAAACTTTTAAGTGATGTAAAAAATATTATTTTTCTAATCCAGTAGCCTCAGTAAAGAAGTAAAAAATTTTCTTGTTTTCCTTGTCTACACTCAACACTGTATTTACTTATATTCACAAGAACTAGATGTTAGAATTCAGGTATAGTCTGATTCTATTGAAACTGCCTTTTGTCAATCAAAGGTTATTGCATTTCTAATATCTATAAGATTATGAAAAATGTGTATTATTAAACTAACCTTGCTTCTTCAGAGCTTTCTTGGCACTTGGTAGAGCATCCCATGGAACTGGTAAATCCAGAAACACAGCATCTGCAACATCCTCCAGATCAAAGCCAAACTGACAGACATCTTTATGTGTCACTGTGACATATTCAGAAAGGCCATGGTCCTTAAACTCCTCCTCTGCTTTCTGTGCTCTTTCTTTGTGAAACTCAAATGTATAGAGATGACCATCTGGTAAGATGGACCTGATAATGGCATGAGAAAGGGAGGCACTTCCTGTGCCTGAAAAGAAATGATATTTAAATTGTGTATTAATATTTAACATTCATCAAACAATTAATTTGCATTTTCCAAAAGATATTTTGGAAAAATTTGGTTAATAATTCATTCATTTGAAGCTAGCTCCCTTAGAACCACATATACATCCTGTAAAACTTGCTTCATCTCTATTAGCCCCAGTGTCATTACTCATTTACAGGTGATAGGACAGTTCTGTCACAGTTTTTATTTAAACATAAAAGGGTTCATGAAGAAAACTAGGATTGGAAATTAGATGTAGGATATTCCCATTTTTTCCATAGACAATCTGATAATAACTTTGTAGTTGTACCTGATTCAACAACAACTGCTCCAGGTTTGAGGTCTAGTTGGAGGGAAACCACACTGATGTCTGTTGAGTAGAGGATCTGAGTTCTGTGAGGTAAGTTAGAGGTCCACAACTCAGGGGTTGGATATAACACATAGAGATATCCCTTGGGACAATGCACTCGGCTGCCATAGATCGTCCCTATAATGTCATTGTGCTTTAACGCCCCATATTTCGTTTGAAAAACTGCTCCACGTTTAATTTGAATTGCGTGCATATTTTCATATCCAAGGTAGAGTATGACAGTATCACCTTCTTGGACCTTTTCATGATATTTGTGGAAACTCATGCTTTCACTTCGGCACCGGATGTTGCAATCGGGGAATAGGTACAAAACAACTCGTACTTGATGTGTTTCGTATAGTTGAACACTTGCTATCTGCCGTGGCTTTGCGCAAGTGGCAGGGGGTGTGGTTATCGCCTTGAGTCCCCCAGTAGCTTCAAGGAACTTTGCCCCAATATGCTCCTAGATTCTGACGATTTCTAAAAACCTCGAAAAATCATAAAAGAAATTGTAAAAAAAAAACAAAAAAAAAACGTTTTGATGTTTTTTATAAAACATTAAAATAAGCATGAGAAAGGTCATCCTCGCAATGCCAGGGGTCCTGAGTCAACATATTGAGGTAAACGGCAACGTGTTGATTCAAGACCCCTGATGGAGAAAGGTGCGTGTTCAACTTGAAAACATAAGCATGCTATTGACAGATAAGTTGATACTACATAGATTTCAATAACATTGTTTAATTTCGGTATTTTGTAAATTCCCTGTTCTTTAATAAGACTGAATAAATCGTCAATTTCTATGAGCGTGTATTTTAATTTTAAATCCCCTATTTTGAGCATTCAAACAACTGCATGTCAGACTGAAATTTAATAAGTTAAAGATTCACCAGGTTCTGAGGATATTACCCCGGCTACCTCTTACCCGTGTTTCCCATGGAATAATGCATGGAGTCTCAAGGTGGCTCCTTAACCAGTTGTTTTTATCTTCTTTCACATCACCCCTCCCCCTTACTCTCTTTAATGCTGAATAGAAACTCAAGCTGATCTTCAAAGGAGGATAACTCCCCCCCCCCCCCTTTTCTCAAAACCCAGTCTTACTTCCTTTTCCAATCTATCTTTATGTCCCCTCCATTGCCTGACATGAAAGTTAAATAGTTTCTATACATATACCGGTATATTTACATCATTGAGGAAAAATGACAACAATTTAACAATATAGAAAGTATTGTTGACCATAACTAAGCTCACTTGAACTCTAGTACACGTCAAAGCTATGTATAACAATATATATCAGGAAATTAATACTTAATGCAGATAATAA